CCGAGTTTCTTTCTCGGAGATAAGTGTTGCTTGAGTTGGAGAAGTGCTGTTAATGGAAGAAAATGATATTTACTGAAATATTTTATGTTATTGATTATACTATTGCAATTCAAATTTGTGAAATATGCTCTTTTAGAGGAAAAGCAATGTTATAAACTGTCGAATTCGCTATTGAGAAATGTTTGGATACAGAACAGTAACGTAAAACTTTGAATAGATTCTCTGAAGAATTTGATTAGAAATTATTTTAACTGTTTCTGTTTTATTCTTTATTCACTTGTATTAAATTTTTTTTATTTAAAATTAACTCAAATCATAAAAATCTGTTTAAATTCCAGGCCATTCCAATTTTGTAACTGATCAGAAATTATGATAACATTATTAAAGAATAGGTCCTTAAGACAGAATAGCAATTTTCGAAATTTTTTGTGACCTGAATTATAATCGATTGAAGGTATCAATCGGCTTAACCTTTTATACTATCAATATATTAACTTCCTGCTTTTTATATCTGTTACATGCTTGTATTGGATTAATACTAGCGATTTAATTTTGTTAGTTCTTACTAGGTGTTACGAATTTATTTTCATAGCAAACCATGTTTAATAATTTTAAAATTTATCCTTAATTTTTATGAAAAGCAATTTAAAAATGTCAAGTCTGAAAGAAACTACTATTGATATTCAAACTTAAATTGAAACTTTAATAAGTCGAAATTTTATTTATTTATGTATATATTTTCAATTTGAAAAGATTACGAAGAAAAATTTATTCGGAAGTTTTAAATAATTTTAATTGAAAATAAAATTTTATAAACATCGCTATCGTTAGTTTAATGATCATTTTTTAAAAGAATTTTTTATTAAATTAAATTTTGCTGTTCTATAAATTTTCAAGTTCAAAGCAAATCCGCTTGTATGGGACCATTTCAACAAAACAGAAAAAAAAGCAAAAAAAAAAGTAGTAGTTATTGTAGCGAAGTCGCATTTCGTGAGAAATTCCCTTTGGTTTATCCAGACTTTTTTTTGTATTTGTTAAACCATACTGATTTTTTTAATCAGTCGGGAAACCTTAAAAATTTATTTTCTCACACTTGAACTCGAAAGAAAATATCGACATAAGCACACAATCTAATAAACTAATTAATTCGTATCTTATGGTAGACATGTTTGGACTGATTTAAATATTCTCGACTGCAGATTTTTGCTTCGTGATAAACAAATAACTTTTATTATTAAAGAAACTTCTCCGGATGTATATTAAATTTACTCAATTCACTATTTCCCACGGGAAAGTAATAAATGACACGAAATTCTATTATATCTTACCTGAAAGATCTTTTGTTGTTTTAGTATAGTCAAGGCTTTTTTTTATATCAAACCTTTAGACATGTATACGATTTGTAAAAATTTGACTACGGATTAATTAATTATACTTTATTCGATTATTATTATTTTTATGTAGTCGGAAGTTTTTTAAATTAGAAATCGTGTGAGTTAACAGATGAAAACAGAAAATAACTTCCAAAACAGCATGATATATGAGTGCGCATTGTCTTTTTATTTATTTTTATGTTTTACAGCATTCTACAGTCGAGGTACTTGAATTTTGTTAATTCGAGTTTAAATTGAATTTTATTATTTAGTGTGGACGTATTATCAAAGTAAAGATCAACAAATTATTTAATAAGTAGTAAATATTAGACAAATTAAAAATTAGTCGAATTAAGTTTTTTTTAGGTAACGTAGGAGCTAGCCAACCGTCTCTATAATAAGCAGCTAAGGGTCTCCACGCTATAATTGACAAGATAGTCTTGGCCACCCAGGTGCGCGCCACCCATGTAGAAAGCATTTCAGTAGTCATTTTGTATTGTTTAATTGCCGTTATCTGAATCTTAAAACATTTAAAGATTGAAATAGTCACCCGGAAAAAATAAAAATTGATAAAATTCAAAAAATAAGGTTAAAACAATTCAGTTTCGAAAAGCGAATCATTCTTATTTCTTTCGTTCTCCGTTTCCATCAAGAAGAATAATCTTAATGATAAATTCCAAGACGGGACGCGAAATTACTTTCTATCTTAGCCACATGAGAATAGTCGTGCTACGAATTTCATCTCAAAGAGAGTCATTAACGGGGAAAAGAAAACCGCTTCAATCTGTATACAAACACTTTTTCAACAACAGACCATTAGAGATGCAACATACGTATTTTGATGGATTTTTGTAAGTTCTTTTCATTTTGTATGATGGAAAAATTGTAGAATGCTTGTTGTTTAGAACGCTTAATAGTTTTCATAAATAGTTTCTTTATAATTCTGTAATTTATCGAGTTTATGAGATTTTCAGTTTCCATTTAAAATTAATGAGAGTTGCACTACTAGCATTTGTTCCGTATCCTCACCAGGCAGGTAAGTTCTGATGAAGCCTATAGAGTTCATAGATCTAAATTCAATCTTCAAATGAATTTACAATAGTTTTTCAATTGGTCATCACATGTAAAGTAATTTATATAATAAACTCATTTGTCTATAGGCAGATTATAAATTGTTGAAATTAAATACTTGTATACTGTCTAAATCATAGATTTCCGTATAATTGGTTTTTTTCTCTGAACACTTAAAATAAAAGTAAAGTTTGTTTAAAATTAGCCTTGTCGCCTACATATTCGGATATCATGCTATCTTGCATTAAACAGGTATGGTGCCAGTTTAACTGGATCACGTGATAAAGTTAGATTTATCATATCAATCACGCGAATATAATTGATCTTAACTCACTCTATTCTTACACGCTAAGATACTTTAATGTTAATTTTCAAACGCAAGTAGTAATAGTTTTGTTCAATAGATGGAAGCACTAAAAGTAGTTAGATGTGGCTAATGAGGCGAGTATATAACCACATCTGTTTGAATGTTTCTTTGCAAGTGACACGTATCAACTTTACACATGGCTGTCCTTTTTTTACACTTAAAGACTTGTATTGATGAAGTGGATCGAGTATTAAGCTTTTCATTGTAACATCATTTGCGTTACGTACCACTAATTCCTACTTTTCGTTACCCATGGGAATATTTAAATCCTTAATGATGTTTGCAATAGAATGGTCGGCTGACGTTTGTATTATTAGATTTGTGTATAATTATTTTGGTAATTTAAACTCGAATCGAACTGCATTTGCGAACATAATCTTAGCCATTTCTAATTTTATAATTAAGATAACTTTTCAGAGGGTGCAAAAACTTCTATTAGAGTAGGCCCTGTCAGTTTCCAGATCCTGTGAATGGGCCACACAATATGTTACGCGCACGCTCCATTTCTCCCTTAATCTATAGAGAACGAACGACAATCTCTGCTCTCCACCCATAAAGAGATATTATAGACTAGTGGCTACCAATCAACGCCTATTGTGAGAGAACAGATGCCTTGTCTGGCGATGAGTTAATCGCCAAATCCATGTGCAGCTTTCACTGTAAGCTGCATTGATCAGTTTAGAGAACCAGAAATTAGCCTTTCGTAATTTTTTCTATGATAACAAGCATCTGATAAAAATGCATTAAAGATAAGAAATTATTACGGAATTTTTTTGCGGTTTATAAACTTCAAAAGAATAATTAAATAACTAAAGATTGATAAGTGAAAGTAGCTTATTTCACTTTGATTAGAATTGCACGAAATTGCCTTGATGAATTATTCTTTGCGTCCATACTTCATTTATATTTTGATTAATGGGATCGTTTACTTGAGAAGCGTTTTAACTCAATAATAGTTAATGTATTTCCGCTTTAATTTGTTTAAAAGGATGAGAATCGATTTATACCTTATTAAATAAGCGTTTAGAAATGTTCGCTTATTTAATGAATGTTTACTCTGGAATCTTGTGTGTAAAATTTTCTTGAATGATTTATTCTGTGGTTTTGATCATCTTCAAAGTGCTTACGAAGTTAGTTCATTTCTAATTATTGTTAGCTATGTGGAAGTATTGAATGTGTTTTAATTAATTTTTTGTAGGTTTAATGCATTTTGAAATATAATACAGTAGACAAGATTGATTTTGAGCTCAGAAATAGATTACCTTACAATCTCATAAATAAGATTAAGGTGATTAGATAACAATGAATAAAACTTTTTATTTAAATGCTATCGATAGTGGAAATCTTATTGAATATTACTAAATACCGTACTATTGTTGGAAAGCCGTTAGAAATTAAAAGTCGCCGTTAATGAGTTTGAATTGAACTTAAAATATTTTATTCTAAAATCCTGATTTTATTATTATTATTATTGAAGCTCTATCTAAATAAATAAACCCAAAATAATTTCTATGCAATAAAAGTTATCAAAGTATTTCTTATTAAATTCTTCATGCTGAAAATGCGATCTTGTCTGGCAGTTGTCAGTGCGACTGACAAGAAGTCAATCTTTATTATTTTAACATATCAATTTTTATTTCTTCTGTCATATTATTAAGATCAAAATATCGGAATTTTTTTTTATAGTTACGTTTTATCTTTATAATATTAATTAATCCTATTATTCATTTATCATGAGCTGAAATTTATCGTAATTATTATTAACTATCAGTGATTAATGTAAATACGACTTTTTTCTCATTTCTGAAATTCTTTAAATTAATTCACTTAAAACTGAATGTGACAGTACTGTTTCAATAATCCGCCAAATCACTCAGAAAAAACATCGAGTTATGCTAATTAAATTGTAATGCGATGCACTTATTTCGATTTTTTTTATATTGACGAACATTCTCACGAAATTAGAATATAAAAAAGTAGTTTTTAATTCGTCTCGATATAAGTTCATTAAACTGGATCGTCTTAATGATAGCGTTTTCCATTTGTTTATGGTTCGTTTTGCTATCATTACTCTATTGTTTTCTGATCAGAGTAATCATAGGATTATCCGTGATAAAACATGTACAGATTGAGCGTTAATAAATGGTTTCTTTCGTTCAGATGACTAATACTGACACGAATGAGTTTTTAATTTAATGTTCCATTACTCTTTTGTAAAAAATACGACTTTCTTGTCATGACGGAGTTTAAAAGGAATACTAATTTTATCGTGTAGTAGCTTCAAATGAAGATTGACAATCTCAATTACTGTACTTCGATAGTTTACAATGTGGATATAATAGTCGTAGTTTACATTTGAAGTACGCAGGTGTGCATTGTGGCTGACTGAATAACCTTTCTGTTTTAAATTTATAGAACTGGAAACGAAGATAATAGAGTCAGTAATTAAGTTATACAATGTATTAAAGGATATTTATTAAAAGCTAATTATACTTGAACTTCCTGTTTCTGAGGTACGAAGATTAATTACCTCATTTGATAATCTTTTTCAGTTTACTTTATTTCTCAGATTCGCACGGTCCTTAATTTGTCATACACAATGGCAAGAGGGCATGCGGTAAAGGCATAACGGGGGAACCGGTCCCTGTAGGGCACGCGACCGTCATTCCTAACAAGCCCATCGCGTGGTGTATCGTCCATATTGTTTAATCTTGGGACATTTCATATCCGGACGTTCATCTAACCATCTGTTGCTTACGGACAGAGACAGCTGATTTAGACTTATATACATTCGATATTCCCACGCCACTCGAATGACACTTGTCGCGCAACCTGCCCGTTTTGCGTTGTCGCTGGCGATAATCAAAACCGTGAGAAATGAAGGGCGCACGTTGTTCTATCGAAGGTCAATCCAATCACATACGAAACCCTTCCGGTTTCAGTAGCGTCCGATCGACGATTTAGTCGTATAGGAAGGGAAAACGATCGTAAGCGAAAAGGAAGGGGAGTGCGCAGTAGTTGGAACAGCGGTCTAAGCATTGTTCCCACGAGTCGGTGGCGAGTCGGTTTTCCCACGGATCTCCGATGCAGTCGACTGCACCCCACAGCAGTCAGTAGTTTGAGTGGGACAGTGAACGTACGTTTCCTAAATATCCTGTGCTGATGACTGACCAATACTGATGACTGCACTTTCCCTCGGTGCTCGATGTGTACAAATGATACCCATATGAACACATGGCTACGAGACAATGAATGATGTAGGAATATTCCAAACTGAGGTAAGTTTCTTAGTTTTTGAATGAAATTGCCACGTTCACTTTCAGATCGTGACGAGACGTACAGGCGAATGATATCCGGTTAGTAGTCGTGAGCCGTAGCGTTCTAGTTGACCTCGTTATGCCATCAAAACGGTTTGCAAGGAGACAGTCAAAATGTAATCACGTGGCGAAAATAAACTAGAAATGTGAGATGCTGCATATTTCGCTAGAAAACGCGCGCTTAGAAAAATAATGTCTGATTTGTTGGGTTCTCTTGTATGCACTAAGGCAGGCGATAAATGTGGCTATTCAGAGAGAGCATGTAGCGTGCCCCCTTAAGGGAGGGGACTATCTTGGTTGAAAGCAAAACGACCTCGTGCCAATCATTTTCTGGAGCACTCTCCACTCAACCTGGAGGTCAATTCAAGGTCGCTTTTCTTAAAAGAAATTTTCGCTGATTTGTCAATATGCTTTATTAAGGAACGTGAGAAGGGTTATTGGTAATCGTCCAGCCGTTGGTCCATACCTTCTCACGCTCTGATTCCTCCTATCTGTTACCCTACTGACATCTGACCTTCGGGGTCAATTTTGATCGTCTTGTACTTCATTGGATGAAATAACAGTAGGTTCAAATTGATCTTAGTTCAGATTTCGACTCGATATTACCAAACCCGAAACTGCAAGAATTTATGTTAAAGTGAAATTTTTAAAATGTAGAGTAGGTATTTTTCAAATTGCGTGGTCACTGACCAGATTGTGAAGTTTACTTTTGCGAGTAGTTTAGTTAATTTCCTTTGTGATGGTTTGTTAACTTATCAATGTAATCTGTTTTTCCCACGAGAATTTACTCAATGAAATGAAGTCCTCAGCTACTAGCTCCTCTGTGCTGTGCTTTAATTGTGCCATTGTCGTCGTTACTTTCTCACGGCCGCAAGGCACAGGACCTTTCCCACGCTCATCAGTCCTACAGCTCTCCCAGAGGGCGGTAGTGTACGGGTCAGGGCTATTAATTAAGCGAGTCGTCCACCAGGGGGCTAGTGAAGTGGCGGGTTTTTGAAAATCAGCGTATATTAATTAATTGTTGCGACACATCCTCCTCAAATTTAAATCTCAACTAATATTTTAACTCTCTAATTGATAGGTTAGGATAACATTTACCGTTACATTCACTACACTGCTATAGCATCTTAGAAATGTTATTTAGCGATGGGTGTGTCCGAAAAGATACGGTGCGGGACCCTCATTAGCTTTTTTCTTATTAATTTTTATTTAACTGAGTGCTTAGCCTATATTATAAAAACTAGACTTTTGAAATGGTACAGTGAAAATGTATAAAGCAAGAGATATTTTGAAATGAGGAAACTGAACGAATAATGTGAAAAACATCAATAAATGCTTCCATGATATCCATGCTTCCCAAAAATGTTAGGGTAAACAATTTTCGATTGTTATGAATCTTCGCAATCGACCATCACTGAGGTATACAACACATTCACTCTATATTCTGAAATGCAGCGGCATTTAATCATATCTAGTTAACGTGAATTGTTTATATTTTTTGCTTAAATTCCACATGGTAGTTGTTTTAATAATTAATTTGGTAATTGCTATATTGAATAAATCCTTGGTCTTTCATTCCGGTTTGCATGCGAGATGATAAAGATAACTCATGCATAAAACAGTTGCACCTGTTTAGATAACCGTACTGATTGCATATATAACGTAAGAAAAAGTGTTTTATCCCGCATTTTATCAAATTACATAATATTTTCGTTCTTTTTTTTACAGACTGTCAAAATATCATTTCTTTACACGATAAATGGGTTAGCTAACAAGAGGGTTTTTTCCAATGGGAAAAACATAATTGTTATACGAAATCCCAAAACTATTGTTTTGTACATCGCTTATGACGTAACCTATCGAGAAAATGATCTAGAAATAATGTAAACGAACATTGTTTGCTAGAATAAATTCATGTAATAATAATTGTGGTTTGATTAAATACATGATTTATCGCAAGGATTTAATATTGAAGACTTAGTATTGAAATTGCATTCATTTTGACAAGCGATTAATGACCTATGATCGATTGAATAATTTATTCATATCTTTGCAGATCAACTTTTTTGATACATATAAATTTTAATATTTAAATTACCCGTCTTCACCAACTTATTAAAACGTGCAATAAAATTTTTCTTTTTCGCAGTTGATTTTTAGCTGCGTTTATTTAGTATTGTTAGCTTCCTATCAAACTACACCAAGTTATTTGCAACGTTTCAAAATATTTACGTCCGATATCTGCGAATTTAAGATAAAAAGTTATCGTTTTCGTGACATATTGCAACTTTCCGATATATCTTTAGTGTCCGGATTATACTTTTGAAAGATAAAAGGACTATTAGTTAATATCAAGTAACAGTTGTTTGTTTTAGTGCTTTAATTAAAAAAAATACATTGAGAAAGTGTCTGAAATAATAACTTTGCAAATTGAGGACGATTATAACACTTTGTAAGCGTTTAATTTATACCTGAAAATAGGCCGAGTAATTGATAACCGTCATTCTTGAGGTTGTCGGCATTCTTTGAGTTATATTAAGTTTTAGTAACCTTTTAATGGTTGTTTTTCCTCTACACTAGATAATTTTGTATAATGCAGCATGTCATTTGTGAACTAAAGAATAGGTTAATTCTAATTGTTTGAATTTAGCACGAATATAAATCATTGAAATTAATATCGTATTAAAGAAACAACAGAGTTTTAGTAAATGTATTCTCTTCTCACGTCGATAAAATTTAACTGTAAATTTGGCTTTCTCTAAAAACATTATCGCAACAACGTTATTAACTTTATGTACTGTACGTGCATTTGAATAAGCATATCTTACAAAAGGAATATAAATGCTAGGAAATCACGAAAGTACATGCATGCAAACATTTTATTCGGGTTAAGAATTAAGTGCAGATCTATATTCCAATACTGAGAAAGAATCAGGTTATGGTCAAAGAGTACACAAGATTTTGTTAGATGCCCCAGTTTACTTAGAATGTATGCTGCACCTGTTTTATGGAAGTAATCCTCTGCAGAACGTCGCATTCACACGCCAACCGCTTAGCGATCCGGTGTTGTGTTTAATCTGCAGCCGTCAAAACTCAGCCTAAGGGTGCAGTGGGAAAGCATATCTGCCACGTGTTGTTTCTCTCCTTTATTTCCACCTGTCTAGCTGGATTGAGATTATTTTTAATCCAGCGTAAAATAAAACCACCTCGTGCACGCTTTTGGATTGAACATCTGCTTCTCGCGTTTTACTCATTAACTGAAAAGTATGTATACAATATACATGATTTAAAATGTGTATCATTATTCATTTAATTGTTAACTTTGTTACTGTAATTGTGTAGTATTCGATGTTACGGTATACCGAAGAAAGACGTGCTGTATTATATTTTGCAAAATATACGCATTTCTTAATTATATATATGCAATTATTTTATTTCATTTTTATTTTTTATACTAAAGCAATCTTTTCGAGAAAATGTTTCTTAAAATATCGAAAAGAAAACAGCTGCAGAAAGAAAATCCATTTTCTTTACAGTGCTGTGAGAAAAGTCGACAGCTGTTTACAAGATATTTGGAAAGGAGTTTAACATTATTTACGTAGCATACAGCGTAAATGGGCAACTTCGAAAATTTCTTTATTTCTTCTTTTTTTTATTACTAAACTGAAGAAGTTAAAATCTGTCGAATAAAATTAGACTCTCAAAACGTGAAATATGAAATAAGGACATTCTGTCACGTGATTGCTATTGATAATATCTCATTTAGGGTCGATAATGAGTATTAAGATACGTAGCTTATGGGAATACAAAGCAGCTGATACAATTTATCTATCGCTGCATCGCTTTTATAAATCCCGAAATGTGGTGCCATATGCTACCGTTTGGTCGATTGTTACTTCGTCCTGTCTATAAATCAACGGTGGTGGTCTCCACGTTAAATGCTTCGTTGTCTTTAAACGACAACAACCTTCCATTGACTTTTCAATGGGTGGAGATTTTCTTTCTTTTCTATGACGGTGGTTATCGATTGTCTACTCTTACACTGATGTATTACCGTATTTGTTAGATTGTTTTATGGACTGAATAAAGTTAAATATAAAGTTATTGCCAATAACTTAAAAAATAATTCATGGCATAGAGAATTTAAAGGATATTAATGAACGCATGACTGGAGAGCGAAGGACAGACTCTGTGATGATGTAAAAGGGAAAATCTGGTACCTGTTCATTTCTTCCGTTTTATTTTCTTTTGTTTGGAATGAATTAATCAAAAATGTCGCATTTAGACGAAATAGAACAAATTTGACCATTATGATGATAAGATTTTTGTAAGTGCGATAAGAAAAACTTTTTGAAATGTAGTTAATGATATTGAACTGTGTTAGGAATAATAATTTTGAAGAAATATGCCAAATATTATAGTGGATTTCGATTTTAAAAATCGATTTAAAAGTTTTGTTTAATTAAAGTAGTTATAAAATATTGTAATAAAAACAGTTGTTCAACATTTTGTAATTTTTTCCACGAATATTAGTTATTTTTTTAAATTGATTAGGTTTTTTCAAGAAAATTAATATCTATTTATAGAAGTTTTTGGAAAACACTAATTATGCTATACGAATGTTAAAATGTTATTTCTCACTTTTACTCGTCATCGGCTTTCCGATAACATTCAGCATCTAACTTTATGTGCACGCTATGCACTTTTCGTGACTGTCATTGTATGATTTATTGGTTATCGAATGTTGTCAGTCGATGTCTCTTTATTTATCGATATTTTGGATACGTCTGCAATTAGTTTACCTTAATGAAACACTTTACTTCTACATTATAATTCACTTTTAAAATGCGTAAAAATATATCAAAAGCATTTCCACTATATCGTCGGTTTATTTCACCGACTAAAAGCAGATAAATCGATATTTGTGGATGAAGTCGTATTTGCAGATGGCACTTCCATCT